CAGACAGTGCTCGAGTCTCAAGCAGAAAAAAAAATCTAGAACTGAACCACTAGTGTGTGATTGATTTGTTGTTTATGAGCTTGAATGTTGCATCTTCAAAAAGGCAAAGTCTCAGCTCCACGCTTTGGTACACGCCTTGTTGCACGGGTACAGTGCAGATGAGAACTAAAGCTGTGTCGGCTTCAAAAACCTGTGACTATCTCTGGCAATTTTAGGTAAAAGACAGAGATGAACACTGTGGCATAACAGGATTATACAGTCAAAGCCTACTACACAGTGAAATTGCAACTGGCATCAGTTTTTTGATATTGATATTCATTTTGAATGGAAAAAAAAGCTACACCCACTGTAACACCCACTATAACAAAGTGTTACCGTGGTACCCTGAAGCACTTGATTGTTGTGAGACTTGTGGATGATCATGGTGTTTATTTTGTCAGAAATTTGATGAAGCTTGAATGCTCCCGTCACATTCACATTTTAACTTTTATGTAGTAGACAGTCTAGTCAAATTGAGCATAGATTGTAGCACAGACAATAGATGGGAGTCACAGGTGGCACAGTGTGTGACTTGTAATGTCGTTATTCCTGAGGCCACTTGAGTTTAGGCACTGCTAACTGAGGGTATAATGCTATTGCTAACTCGTCGTGTAATGGCAGCTTTCAGCCACAAAGCGGCACTTGAACCTGGCCCTAAGTAGATGGATGTGGTGTGGCAGGGTGATACCTGCAGAGAAACACTTCACATTATGAAGGTACTGTATTAGTGATGGAGAGGTGCACTTAGTCACAGACGCTATCTAAAAGTTGGCCAACTTTTGATGTAGTAGCAGTTTGTGTGGGGGTGGGGGGGGTGTTTACTCATGTTGTGGGGGCGTAAGTCTGTTTACACAGTTGCAGTATGAGGACAGAAAGCAAGTCTGCAAAACTTAAGTGACTATATTTTAGAGTGATGACTTGGTTTAAGGTTGGGATGATGCTGGGAGTAAGATAAGGGTTAAGGTTAGGTAAGTAGTGCTTACGGTTATGGTTAAGATAAGTCTCCAGGAAATGAATGTAAATCATTGGAATTCTCCTGAAATTATGGAAGTGAGTGTGTGTGTCTGGACCCTCATGTATATCAACTACTCAGTGACATTTCAGCCAGCCCATGAAGTGGTGGTGGTCTATAGATAACAAGGGAGAGCAAATCACTGTTAAACATTTAATCTGTATTGATTGCATTCCATATTATGGGGCAATGTTTTCTTAACCTTGTAATCATAGTAAAATTAATTTTCTTTTAAAAGACCATTTACTATTTAACACTGAAAACCGAGTTCGTATATGAAACCTGACACTTAGTGGAGGGAGAATTGAAATTGATACTACAAACTATGATTCTTTTGTACAGATGAGAACGAACAGCTTATGGGATATTTGAAGAGGTTGAGAGAGCGAGTGATGGGGGTAGCAAGCTGATGATTTAGCACCAGCGCATCGACCAGACTATATAAAGCGAAGATAATCATATGGTGATGAAGCTAATCAATCACATTCCCTGCACTCACACATGGTTGGATTCCCCCCCTGTTGTAATAAAATAAACAATGGGCGCTTTGTCAGGTGTCCTCAGAGCACCGTAAGGTACACTGAATGGGTTGTGAAAAAATCAATCAGAATCCGATGGCAGAATTGTGTGAGTGAATGTGTCGATATGAAATACAGTAACTAACCTGGATGCTTTCGTGCACCAACCTGAAAGCCTGCATGTGAGCATGTATGCAATACCTGTCTTCCAACATGAATTTCAACCCCTGCTTTAGTCATGCAAACATGCACATGTGTTGCATGTGTGGGTGTCTGCAGGAGAATGTGTGCACATGCAGGCCTGTAGTACATCTGAATTGAGATTGGCGGGCTTTTGCTCAGAGTAATTGGGTCACATGTGTGAATAGCAGTCAAGAAGAATGTTATTCAAACTTAAGAATCCCCACTGTAGCCTACATCCCCCCGGCAATCACCATCCCACTGAGGTTAATGGTAAAGAGTGCTGATAACACACTAACGCTGTATTAGGGAGTATACAATGTCGTGATGTCTGCATCTCACAGGCACTTTAACTGTGTAAATGGCCAAAAATCACCATGTTGAGAAGAGTGCACTTTGCCTGTGGGGAGCATAAAAATGTGTGCATCCACCTCCACCTCACATCTCTCTCCCTTCTCTTCTACAGTGCTTTGTCTAGTAGGTAAATAGGAGCCAGGCACCATGAGTGATGAGTTTATTAGCCTGCCAGCTGTGACCAGCCCTTGGGTATTATTGGCGTGGTGGCTGTGTCTTTTTTTTGTTGATGTGGGGGCTCTAGGCTTGGGGGGGTGGGGGGGGGAGCAGGAGGGAGTACCACATGAGAACCAGAGAAATCCCCTGGCAACCGGAGACAGGATCAACACTAAATGGGCGCCCCATTCATTTAGCTGAGCAGCAACACAGCCAAATGACAGACTGGGAAAAGGAGAAGGAGGGAGGAGTAGGGTGTGAGTAGCCCTGTGTGCAAATATCTGAATGAGCTTTAAAAAAGGTCTGGTCAGCAGGCAACTTCCTGCTTTGCAATTTCTTAATTTGGTGGACAGGTATTAACACACAGGCTGAAAGTGTCCCTGAACACTCACAATGACTGACG